ACCTAAACCTGTATATTTCTTATATAGATGTTTCTAACTTTTGAATTCAGTGTATTTAATAGTTTAATAGTTACATAACTCAAATAACAGGTCCATGTCACCTGTTTTGTTTTTTTTGGCTATGTTGAATCTTCGTTGTGTTGCATGGGGGCTTCTCTCGTTGCAGAGCATGAGCTAAGTCGCCCTGCAGCACGTGGGATCTTGGTTTCCTCACCAGGGAGCGAACCCACCTCCTCTACATTGGAAAGTAAATTCTTTAAAAAACAATTTTTTTTTGTTTATTTGTTTATTCATTCATCCATTTAGGGCAGTGCTGGGCCTTCATTGTTGCAATGACCTCTCTCTAGTTGCGAGGAGCAGGGGCTGCTCTCTAGTTTTGTGTGGGCCTCTCGTTCCGGTGGCATCTCTTGTTGTAGAGCCCGTGCAGGTGCGGCTCGTGGGCTCAGTAGTTGCGGCTTCCAGGCTCTACCGTTGTGGCGCGTGGGCTTAGTTGCCCTGAGGCATGTGGGATCTTCCTGGATCAGAGATTGAACCCATGTCTCCTGTATTGATGGGTGGATTCTTGACCTCTGAGCCACCAGGGAAGTCTTAGAGAATTCTTAATCACTGGACCACCAGGGAAGTTCTGAGTCTGTTTCTTCTTTAATTATCAAAGTTATATCCTTTTGATATGTGCAGGTCTAATGATATACTTTAATTATTTACTTTTCCTACTTGCCATAGGTTTATTCTGGTCTTTTTCAATAATCTAAACTCCTCATTTTGGAATCTAGATAAGACTTCAAAGGCAGGAGCTTAGATTGTTGATTGAGACTGTTTTCTTCTTTAATATTTGTATTTATATTTAGTGCTATAAATTTCCCTCTTAGCACTGTTTTGTATCTCAGAAAATTTGATACTTGTTTTCATTTTCATTCAGTTCAGTATGTTTTTTGGTTTCCATTCCCATGGACTATTTAGGAGTTGGCTGTTTAATTTCTAAGTTTTACTTTCTAGTTTGGTCTCTCTGTGGTCCAAGAATGTATTCTGTGTGATTTCAGTTATTTTATATCTGTCAAGATTTGTTTTATGGTTTAGGATTGAAAAGAAATATTTTGTTGCCATTGAGTAGAATGTTCTTTTTGTGTCCATTGGATCCTGTTGATTGTTGGTGTTGAATTCTTCTACAGTTTGTTATGTTCTATGTTGTTCTGTCAGCTGCTGAGAGAGAGAGAGATTAAAATCTAACTAATTGTGAATTTATTTCTCCTTATATTTTGCAGCTCTCATCTGGTGCACACATTTGGGATTGTTCTGTCTTCTTGGTGGATGACCTTTTGTCATTATGTAATAGTCTTCTCTAGTTTGATAAATTCTTGGCTCTGAAGTCTACATTAGCTGACACTAGTTTGGCCACCTCTCATTTCTTTTAGTTGTTTGTATAATATATCATTTTTTATTCTTTTACTTTCAGCCTGCCTATATTGTTATATTTAAAGTCAGTTTCTTCTGAACAGCAGAGAGTTTAGGGCATTTGTTGCTGTTGTTCCACTCTGTCAGTCTCTAATCTTACAATTGGTATATTTAAAACACTTATATTTGATGTAATTACTGATGTATTAGGGCTTAAGTCTGCCCTGTATTTTACAATTCAAAAATTGTGGTTCTTTTTTTATATATTTTTTCTTAGACTTTCAATTTCTTTGCTGATAGTTTCTGTCTTTTCATTTGTTTTAATTTCTTCTTGATTGCTTACTGAAGCATTTTTATAACTGCTTTATATTCTGAGTTGAATAATTCTAAACATCTTTATCATTTTGGTGTTTGCATCTATTGATTGCCCTTTTGCTGTTTGAGATCTTGGTTCTTGCTATGGCAGACAAATTTTTTTTTTTTTTTCTGTTTAATTGAAACCTGGAAGATTGGAGTATTATTATGTTGTGAAAGTCTGGATTTATTTGAGGCTTCTGTTTCAGCTAGCTTCCTCTAATACCACTTGGGCAGAAGAATTGAGGGCTGTTGCCTTGTTAGTTTCAGATTCCCATAGAAAGGAAGTTCCTCTCCTTGTCCTCTGGGGAGGAAGTCCTCATTATTGTCAGCAGAGGTGAGAGGCCTCCACAGATACTTTGTCTCCATGGACACTGTTGGAGCGACAGCGGTGTTCCTGGGTAAAGCTGAAAGCCTTCACTCCACATCTGCCTCCGACACTCCCCAAAGTGGAGGAGGAGGGTCTGCTTTTCACTGCCTGGTGGGAGTTCATGTACCCCTTGTGGTTTCCCCTGACACTGCAGAATTCGAGAGGGCAACCTGCTTATATCCTAGTGTTTTGTTTGTTGTTTAGTCCCTAAGTCGTGTCTGACTCTTTTGTGACCCCGTGGCTCCTTTGTCCATGGGATTCTCCAGGCAAGAATACTGGAGTGGGGTGCCATTTCCTTCTCCAGGGGATCTTCCCAATTCAGGGATCCAACCCAAGTCTCCTGCGTTGGCAGGAGGATTCTTGACCACTGAGCCCCCAGAGCACCCCCATATCCTGGTGAGGGTGGACCCTTCAGTTTCCCCATCCAGCGTTTCCTGGCGTTGGTGGGAGTTGAGCCAGTTTTCTCTTTGGTGTTTGACTGGAGAAGAGTGGTTTGCTTTGTTTTTTTCCCTTAATGATTTCTGTCTTGCCAGATTGCTTTCTTTTGGCTAGAGGGGGAGAGCAGGCTTTTGTATGTTTATTTTTTGTCTGCCCTTGTTGGCATTTCTGTTTTGCTGACTCCTTCAGCTTCAAGCTGGGATAGATGAGGCAAGAAAAAAACCCAGGGAACATGCTGCTGTATCATTTCTCAGATTCTTTCAGAGTCTTTATGTTGTGTTGTATATAATGTGTAGGGCTTTTAACTGAATTAACAGGAGAGACGTGAAATAACACTTCATCTTCTTAGAAGCAAGTTGTTTCTCTTATTTTTTCTTAAAATGAACTTTCTGCCTTCCTTCCCCATCGCACTCTACTGCTTCTTTTCGCTGCTTCATTTTAGAAACAGATTCTTTGAAAGCAATTGTCTAGGCTTGTTTTCTCTAGTTTCTCCTCATTCGTTCTTTTAAACCTATTCTAGCAAGACTTTATCCTTACAGCTCCTCTGAAATCACTCTTGTAAAGGCCTTATTTACAAGTGAATAATCAAACCAATTAATACTTACAAAGCTTTGAGTGAAGCTAAAATTGTACTTAGAGGGAAGTCTGTAGCATTAAATATTATATTAAAGGGGGGGGAAGGTCTAAAACCAAATGAACTGGTATCTAATTTAAGAAAAGGATTAACCCAAAGAAAAAAGAAGAAAGGAAATAAAAAGTGTCCAAACCCTGGTAAAATAGAAAAAAGATACAATTGAGAGAATTAAGAAATTCTGACAAGGTAATCAAGAAGAACAAAGAAAAGGCAAAAAAATATAATAATCATGTTAGAAAATATTATAAATATTTTAATTGGCATATTTAAATAAAATTATATGTGAAATAAGTAATCAGAAAAGTATATAAATGACCAAAACTGATTCAAAAAGACATAAAAAAATCTGAATGGTCTAATAACCATTTAAAATGCTGATTTAGTAGTTAAAAGGTTTCCCTTCTCTTAGTAAAAAGGCCCAGGTAGTTTTTTAGCTGCTGAGTTTGTTCAAATCCTAAATCCAGTGTTGAGTAAACTTTTTTTGGAAAACAGAAGAAAGTGTACCATTTTTCATTTTGGTTTTTTGAGGCTTATGCTATAAGCTTGTTACAAGACTAGCAAAAAGAATGTGAAAGAATAAAATTTACAGCCAGTCTCATTTATGAACAAAGTGAAATAGCCGGCAGTCTATAAAACAGGTAACATGACCAAGTTTGGCTTATTCCAAGAATGCAAGCATTAAGCAACACTAGAAATTTATTCAGATATTTACACATTAATAAAACGATAAGTTACTACACATCACATTGTTGATTTAGAACAGTGAAAGTCTTGGTTAAATCTGAGAATGCTAGGTGTATTGTCATGAATACTGAAATCAGTTTTGCCTTGAAAACTATTGATCACAGTGGATGGTACAACTAATTTGATTGAAGGGAGTCAGATGATCTCAGGACAAACTGTGAGTTAGTTCTGATGAGTAATTTTTTGACAAAATATTAGAAGGAACAGCATATCAAGTAGATAAAATAATATGTGCTTAAAGCATAGATATGGTGTTTGGGAATGGTAAGTGAAATATAACTAGAGCACAGTTACATTTTAAGGATATTGGGCCCTGGCTGGAGGTGAGATTGAATATTTGTGCTAATTGTGAAAAGCTTTGTCTGCCTTGTTTCTTGCTAAATAGTGGAGTAAATCAACTCAGGTAAAATCAGAAAGCCAGTAATACTTTTGAACATTCCATCTCTTTAGCTCCTTATATTTAGTTAGTCATACCTTTAGAGATAACATCTATTACTTGTTTGCATTCTTTTGTATATGTACCTTATGTAAAGTTAGGTGCTGTCACTGATATACTTTGATTTTTTGTTGACTAAAAATGTAGTAGGAATCTTGAGTTTATGATTGAATCACTAATATAATGTATTTCCTCTGGATTACCTACTAAACTTTTAACAGCTATCATGGTTAGTCTCTTTCACCAAGATGGTGCTTGAGAATTTGTTTAGAGGCCTGATTAATTTTATTTGTTCTGTCATTTTAACTTTATTTGTGGTAAAAGAGTATATCTTAGTATGTTTCTTTTTACCAAATATTTGTGATTTTATTAGCAGTTTTTGCTTGAGTTGTGGGTGTTTTTTTTAAAGAAAAGTTATTGGAGTGACCTTTCATAGATTGCCAGGTTTTCTTTTCCCTTTTTCATGTATTGGTAGATAGAAGGCAACAGTTATTCTAAATTTGTGAATCAGAGAATTTAAACCTAAACTAACTTCATGAATGTGCTCACTTTTTTATTTAATGCATTCCTTCTAACCCCCAAAGATACTTTTAATTTTCTTAATTATATAACATTTGATTTTTTAATTTAAGGTGTGACTGCACAGAAAAGTTACAGAACAAATTTGACTTTTTGCGCTCACAGTTGAATGATATTTCTTCGTTTAAGAATATTTACAGATATGCCTTTGATTTTGCAAGGGTAAGTGGGATTTCCATGTTTGCAGTTTTAATATATTTTTTATTATCTTGAAACCACACTTAGGAAAACTTTTTTATCTTTTGTTTTAGGATAAAGATCAGAGAAGCCTTGATATTGATACTGCTAAGTCTATGTTAGCTCTTCTCCTTGGGAGGACATGGCCACTGTTTTCCGTATTTTACCAGTACCTAGAGGTATGTATATGTTTTTATTTTTAAAATAATATTTAAAAACTTAAGCTGATTGAAAAACATACCTTTAAATGAATAAAAACAAAAAATATGTAATACTGTAGCTTTTTAAAAAATATGTATAAGTGGTTGAAAATTTGTTTAAATGTATACCTATCTGCTCTCATTTAGACATGAGTTCATGTTCATTAATATGTTTTGTGCATAAGCTGTGTGTATTCCCTTCCTCACAGCTCTTCTCCCTTCAAAAAAAAAAAAAAAGATCTTCAAAAATTATATTTTAGCACAAATGCCCTTAATGTAAAATTAGTTTCTTGGGACTTTTCAAGAGAGAATTGATGCTAGTGTACAAATTTCAAGCTTCTAAATCAAATTTCTTTCTATATACAAGATATTTGACTGAAAAAAAATCAAATTTAAGAGAACCGATTTTAGTATTAAAGCTTAGGCTCAATCTAAAGAATTAGAATAAACTTTTAATATGTTGTTGTTCAGTTGCTCAGTCATGTCTGAATCTTTGCAACCCCATGGACTGCAACACGCCAGGCTTCTTTGTCCTTCACCATCTCCTGGAACTTGCTCAAACGCATGTCCATTGAGTTGGTGATGCCATCCAACCATCACATCCTCTGTTGTCCCCTTCTCCTCCTACCTTCAATTTTTCCCAGCATCAGGGTCTCTTCCAGTGGGTTGGTTCTTCCCATCAAGCAGCCAGAGTATTGGAGCTTCAGCTTCAGCATCAATCCTTCCCATGAATATTCGGGGTTGATTTCCTTTAGGATTGACTGGTTGGATCTCCTTGCAGTCCAAAGGACTCTCAAGAGTCTTCTCCAACACCACAGTTAGAAAGTTTAATATTTTATGTCCCCAAATATGAGAATGTACTTAGATATAGTGATTACTGAGAAATGTATGCTGAATTTATAAAGGAAATATTGTTTTAGAAGAAAGGCTTTATTCTTGTATCTGTTGTTCAAGGTGATTCTAAGAAGATACTGTCCTTTTTTTCCATTTCTTGCTTTGGTAGTGTTTTTTTTGCTTTTGCAATTTTGTCTTATTTTGGTGTACTTCTTTCCATTTCTTGAATATAGATGCTTTTGCTTTGAAAATAATTTCTCACGAAGCTGATTGTTTATCATAGCAAGTTCCCCAGATTAGTTTTGTTTAAAGCTTGTGATAAGAGACAGTAGTATAAAAAGGTCTTATATGCACACTTAAATCTTTTAGCCTAATAAAAGTAGATTGGTTGGTGGACATTCTCATATTGGGGACAGAGATAAATAGCATTCCTTGTAAAAATATTCCCGTGTAAAGGTTGCTGAGAGAACTAAATATTTTCAAATGTTTGTTGTATGGAGGGTGTTTAACATACATTATCTTTTTAAACCTTTATAACACCATTTTGAATTATGTTTTATTTCCACTTAGCCAATGAGTAATTTTCCCAGGGTCATTCAATTAAGTAACAGAAGTAAGATTTGAAACCAAGCCTGAAAAATGCCAACTTCAAATGTGGCTAAACAGTAAACCTTATGTAAAGAAACAATTTAATGAGAAAAGAGTTTACTGTGTATAAGAAACATTATATAGCTTGATCTCACTGGTGATTACACAGCATATACATTGGTAAAAATTTAGTGAGTTTTACCCTTTTTGTTAGGGCCATTGATGCTGTGTTATTCCTCAGAAATTAAAAAAAAGGAAGGAAAAAATAAATTTGAAGATGTTAACATCTAAATGACCCTGAAAATTCTCTTAGAAACACAAATAAATAAAAGAGGAATAACTGTTTTTAAGGAAAGACTAAATCACAACAAAATCACAACTATGTTTATTGAAGTCAAATCCTAATAGATATTACTTGTTCTGTAATCCAAATGTTTATATTGTTTTCTACAGCAATCAAAGTATCGCGTTATGAACAAAGATCAGTGGTACAATGTGTTAGAATTCAGCAGAACAGTCCATGCTGATCTTAGTAACTATGATGAAGATGGTGCTTGTAAGTATATAATACAGTGTTTTCCTATGAAAATATAGTTCTTAAAACTATTAAATGAGAACATGGATTTGTGTATCATTACCATAAAGAGTTTAAACGTCCTAACAGATCTTCTTGTTTTAATTGTGTGGTAAGTGTGGGGGAGGCAGGTATAGAAGGTAGAGAACTTAGATTGAGCACCATTATAAAATCTGTGCTGATAATTGAAATATTTTCAGTTACTTGGTAGCAGAGCACTGTAGCTAAATTTATAATTTCTGCAGCTTGAAGCTAAAATTCTGCTTTTTTCCTGTCTTTCCTGGTGTTTTACTATGTAAGAAAAGTGCAGTCATGATTTTAAAAATAGGAAAGCAAAACAGCCATAGTAGCAAAAGCTTTAAATTTAATATCATAATATCCATTCACAGTATGGCAAATAATGTCAAAGTAACTTCCATCAGAAATTATTGAGTAAACAGTCAATAAACTATTTATGATTTTTGAATTGGTTGAATTAAAATATCTGTCAGCCCCCTTCAGTGGAAAACCCAGGATGCCATAGAATAGGTGTTAGAAGTAATGATGAATTATGTAGATAAGCTAATGAACTTTCTAGAGCTGTAAGTTTTTCACTCCCATCACAGGTTTGGCTGCATGTGCTGTTTTCATGTTGCAAAGCATTATATAGAAAAGATATTGTTGTTTAGTTGCTAAGTTATGTTGAACTCTATTGTGACCCCATGGACTATAGCTCTCCAGACTCTGTCCATGGAATTTCCCAGGCAAGAATCCTGGAGTGGGTTGCCATTTCCTTCTCCAAGAGATCTTCCCAACCCAGGGCTTGAACCCAGGTCTCCTGCATTGGCAGGCAGATTCTTTACCACTGAGGCACCAGGGAAGCCCACACAGAAAAGATACCTTCCTATAAATGTAAACTAAGGTTAATGGACTTTTGTGACACTGAAGAAACAAAATACTGAAGAAAGGGTAACTTTATTTCTTTCTGTATATATTGTGTGTTCCATTTACAAAATAGTGTAAAATTTAATATTTTTATAAATAATACCTTACAGCAGTAAACTGGCAGCTGAAGGACTGTCTGGCCTGTAGATATATATTTTCATGTGCATTTGAGTCAACGTTTTAACTGAGAGGTTTTGAATAAAAATACAGCTTCTAGATTTGTTTGAAAAGTTAGAAAATCTGACAGAACTCTTCCTGTGTTCCTCTATAGGAATTAGGTTGGAACCAGCTAGTGGCTTGTGTTGGACTTGCTTTCTGATATGCTGGTCCACAGTATGACAACATCTGGGTTTCTTTTCAGTTGTCATTGATTATTATGCTAGTCTCCTGGTTTTCTTACAGTAGAGAAATATCCATTAAAAGCAAGAGAAAAAGTGAGATCACCAGAGGGTTTTAAGAAGAATAGGGCAAGCATATTGCTTTATGGCAATGAGTTTCCCCTACATTTCCAAACAATAAAGAGTGAGCTCGTTTAAATTGCCTCTCTGACTTACGTAAGTAAATAAATGGGAACTCCCTGCATTATAAAAATATCTTTTTACAGTAGTTCTTAAGGCAGGTGTTGATATTTATTAGGTACTTGCTTTGTGTTCAGATTTATAGTAGGTTCTGTACCTGGAACAGTATATGGCCACACCTTCAGTAAACTTATACACTTCTTGGTGAGGTAACAGAAATATTACATCAAACACTTTTCAGATTGTTTAATAATTAATTGGCAGAAAGCCGTGGGCAGTTAGAAAAAGGGAGAGGTTAATATTGACTGAGTTATCGGAGAGTTCATGAAACACTTAAATCCTGAGAACGTGATTTCTACAAATATCCATTGTGGAAAGCCCCTTATGTTTTTAAAAAACAAAAGCCAAGAAAGCACCTATTAAGTAGAAGGGAGTCTGGAAGGAGAGCACCTAAAGAAGGGAAGGGTCAGTTCCCTGTCGTCACCATGGCGTTTGTGGTGAGTTTGTTTTATATAGTTTAAGAGATAAGTTCACTGAATTCTAATAAAAATTGTTTCTTTTATTTCTAGGGCCTGTTCTTCTTGATGAATTTGTTGAGTGGCATAAAGTTCGTCAAGCATCATAGCAAGAAGTATTGTGAAGAAAATGCAAACCTTTTGATCCTGACGTGTGTACAGGCTAATTAGATGAGGGGAAAAAAAACCTAAGGGGTGCATTTTCATTCATATGAAAGACTTCTCATAGTACTTTTTTTTTTCCTTTTTTTTTTAAAGGAAGTTTTCTTGTTACATGTTATGGGCATTGAGCCACACCTCTTCTGAGACTGAATGTTGAAGTTTTTGTTTTGAGTTATGTTTATAACATTTATTTCAGAACAATAAAGATTCAGATTTGTGACAAAGGCCTTAAGTGAAGATGTCCGTTGAGTGTCAAGAGTGGTATTTATTTTTGTAAATTTTAATTCTTGAATTTTAGAAGTCTGTCATACCAGGAATTTGTGAAATTTTAAAGGTTTTAAACAATCTTAGTATTTGGCAACTCTGCTCATGGTATAGCTCATTTATTCATCTCTGCACAATCAGAAGGAATATTTATTGGCCTTGACTTCTTGGGTAATTTCTGATGCAGCTAATAAAATACATTTCTCGATATTGGGGAAGTTCAGCTGTGGTTTTCTGTGAAAGTTGCCAACATATTATGCATACTCTTTATCTGAAAAGTTTACAGTTGGAAAGATTGTGTTGCTATTTTGTTTTCTAACCCTTAAATATTGTCAGTAAGTATAAATCAGCATCGCATGTATACTGTTAATGTGAATTTTACATTTTCTGTATTGTATCAGTTTAAAATTCCATTTATATTAGAAAGAGCAAGTTTCATATATTAATGATCTCAAAATCAGTTAGCCTTATGAGAAAATTAAGACCATTATTGAAGCTGTATATCATCATCATTGTTGTTCGTGACATATGTGATCTTTTTAACTATCATTTCGTGATTTGGGGAGTTTTGTTGAGGACCGCTCCATCCCAGTCCCCTTCTTCTTTTTGGTTATATGAGAACCTTAGCTCTCATGTTGTGGATTTAGTTAAAATATATATTAGAAAAAAGAGAATAAGGACTCATGGGAGAACTCTGGGTGTAACTTGCACAACTCAAGGGTACCGTTTACATTGGTATAAATTACATTGCTAATTATCACAGTTCTCTGACCTTTGGTAGTGAAGTTTCTTGAAGACAGGGCAGCCTTTTTTCTAATTCACACAAAAGGTGTCTTTTTGGACTAGCAGCAGGGCTGTTTTTACATTCCTCTTAAACCATCCAATATCCCAGTGATATGAAAACCGTGTTCACATTTACAGTCAAGTCACAGCTTCAGGAATGTTAATTCCTAGTTTTATTGTATGAGTGGAGAAAAGTAAATAGATTGCTTTTCCATAATAAGGACATTTCCTCTTGGGATTTAAGATAAAAGTTGATTTTTGCTGGTGAATTTATTTAATGAGTGATTACAGTAGCGCCTAGGGAGAATAGCATTTTAAATAATTTTATGTTTTTTGCTTTTTTTGCTTTTTGGTTAAAGGACTGAGGAAGAATGACTGCTGTTTTTATTTCTTCATGAAAGCACTATGTACGACTTTATGAAACACTGATATAATAATGGAAAGCAATTTTTCCTTTAAATGTCTGATAAGGATAATTTTCCTGGAATACTGTGTCAAGTATTAGAATAACTGAATTATTGGAACTGAGCATAGTGACAATGAGTGTTAATGGCGTTATGAATGGTGTTTTAATATTAAATGTATTATAAGTTCAGTCAGTCCTTGAACAACATGGGTTTGAACTGTGTGGTTCTGCTTATAAGCAGATTTGTTTTCAGCAAATATGCAATCAACCTTCTATATCTATGGATCCTGCATCCATGGATAACAGGACCTGTGGATATAGAGGACCAACTATGGGGCTTGAGCATCTGCAGATTTTGGTAAACTTGGGGGCTGCTGGATCCAGTATCCTTTAGGTCCCAAGGGATGACTGTAAAGCACTTAGATTTTTAGACATTTGAATCTTTATGATATGACTCTTCAGGGAACAGCTTTTGAATTTGAAGAATATTGCCCATTTTTATTTAATTCCAAAATATATAATTTAAATGAAATTTTATAAGTTGTCAATTTATGGCCTGAACAAAATTGTTTTGTCTTTATAAGGAACATTTAAAAATTAGATGCCCTTTAACGAAATATATGAGACAATTTACTCTGCTTACTTATCCAAAGATTCCTTTAAGACTTTGAATCTGGGAGTGTAAATGAAACTTCCTTTATCCTGAAGTCAACAGCCCCATTTTACTCAGGCTGTGCTTGGTTTACTCTCTTGCTCTTTCTAATTCTCTAACCTTCTTAGAGTCATAACTCACTTATTTTGGAAGCAAACAACTCTGCCTCATTCATCTCAGGATGTGGGCTTGTCCCTTCTGGTCATTTCTTTTTTAATTTGTATTTGAACATCATTTAATTTATTGGAACTAATGATCAAGAGGTTAAGTAGTATAAGTAAAGAGGATAGTACTAAGGCGCCAGCAGTATGAAAAATAAATCTGTTGGGGCTCTTCTTTTAACCTGTTAGCTTTCTAAGTGCCTTCCCAGGAATCCTGTTGTAAAACTTCCTTTAGTGTGGAATAAAATTCACTGGTGCTTTATAATTAGAAACTACTTTCTTCTTATAGAATAACATACAAATGGAATACTGCTGGAAGAAAAGGGAACCAGGTGTTGATTCTGAACTGTGAGTGGATGGAGAGGTTGTCCCCCCAACCCCTCGAAGCCAGTGATTTTTAAACAAGGCATAATATCTTTAGGAACGTGCCAGTTATTCAGGTAACTTATTTGAATAAGAGATAGAAAATGGTGTGTTTTGGGCTTTTCTGACTTTATTGCAATGTTATTTCTTATTGTCTTAAAGTATCATCGTTTTTGACTGCTTACAGTAAAATTCTTGACGTAATCCATTTTTGGTTGTAATGGTATTTTTATGTGTAGTGTACAGGTTTTATTGACTTGAGTTTTACTTTGAAGTACTCCAGTGTTTCTTAAAGGGCTCCCTGGTGGCTCAGTGGTAAAGGATCCACGTGCCAAGTAGGAGATGTGGGTTTGATCCCTGGGACAAGAAGATCCCTTGGAGAAGGAAATGGCAACCCACTTCAGTATTCTTGCCTGGAGAATCCCATGGACAGAGGAGCCTGGTGGGCTACAGTCCATGGGATCACAAAGAGTTAGACACAACTTAGCGACCCACTACACACAAGTATTTCTTAAACTGGAATTTGAGGGCCTTCGATGGGAATGTTAGATTGACCCTGAAGAGTACTTCTCTTAAATTCAAATGCCTTTTTCATCTAGTGAACCAAAAATTTATCTTTAGTGATATTAATGCCATCACTTTGTGCGGGGAGGTGAGTAGGATAGTAGAATTTTAAAGCATATTAGTTAATGTAGATTATTAGCAATGAAACATTTTACTTTGAACTGACAATTTCTTTGTCAAAACATGTCCTTTCTCCTTAATTGATGATGTGAAGTTATGAAAGCATTTATTGAAATATATTACATATTCAGCTTGATAAACAAGAATACTGATTTTTTTTTAAAGTGCTTTTCTTGAAGGGTACTTAAAACTGTTGGTGATCATTCCTAATTCAATAAAGTTTTGTTTGGGCTCTCAAGGCTCTTATAGCCTAAAGTTTTGTAGCACATCTTATGTGCTTACTAAATGTCTAAAGCATCAAATAAGTTGAGGACAGTTTAATTTACGTAATTTAAATGCATTTCTCTGTTAAACTAAGAGAAAAGGCAAAGCCATTTCTTAATTGTACTTCTATAGACTTCATAAAAAAAGAATCCTCTTTCTTGAGATAGTATATTTCTTGAGTGATATTGGGAATCATTACATAGAAACATTTCAAGGTAGGGTTTATTTACTCTTCAGGAGAAAAGAGAAATTACAGCAAAATATCTTTGATTTTGTTAGGAAAGGCTAGTCTGGATTATTAAATATTCTAGATCATATAATTTTTTAAAGAATATAGTTTTATAAATATTTGTTAACAACCAGACAAGTTGCTTAAGATCTGGTCTTTTTTGTTGATAAACCTAGTTACCTATAAGTAGTACTGTGGAAGCCCAAAAAACAGTCTGACTTTTATAGTCAAATTTATATAGATTACAGATTATGAAAAGATAAATTCCTGCACCAAACCTCAGGTGAATTATTTGTAATTCACTGATTAATTGTAGAGGCTTTTCTAGTGAACTTTAACTTCATTGAAGCAAATCTTTAGCTCTTTTAAAGCACAATTTATTTACTTTTTCTCAAATACCAGTCTTAATAAAAAATAAATTTGCTATGTCTACCTTACAGTCTTTTGTATCCTATACAGATTGTGCCTCCTTTGCTCCTTGACCAGTTGTTCATTTGACCATTTTCTTTTTATTTTGTGTGCTTTGACTGTAATTTATTAAACCTTTTTAATATGGCTTATTTTTGCATGGGTTCTGGTTTATCATGTGTTAAATATCTTTAAAATACATCCAGTAAAAGGATTAGACTTTAACGTGAGTATGAATTCTTACCTTAGAGTGCCAGTTTTTTTGGAGCTTTGTTGTATTTTATGGATCTGTGGTCCACAAATGTAAAACATATATTAAAATTTTCTTAGTTTTCCCCCAAATTATATCATGTTGAAGTTTTATCATTTGCAATATTGTTTTTCTCAGCTTTAGAGTAATAAGGAAAACTAGCATACATGATGGATTATTTTAAGTATGAAGTAAAATTGTCGGTATTATGAAATATTCCAGTATGAGAAAATTATTTTTAAAAGCTAACAAAAATAAGCAAAATGGATATATATAAAAGCAGCTTTACCCAAACCGCTATGTGTGTGTAAGTAAATTGTGTATCACCCATAATTTGTTTTTTCATGTAGAAAATAGCTTGTGGATAAAAGCCTTCACATATTTTGGTGAAAAGAGAATTTCCTTCCATATGACTGCTGTCAGTTGCATTTGAAGAGGAAATGTGCATGTGAAAGAGGGAAGATAAATTATTTCAATAACTTGT